CTATGGCTGTGAAGAACGTCACAGTGTTGGTGGGAGTTTCATAGGAGACTTACCTCAATGATCCCATCTGGCTCCATGCCTTCAGGGCCATTGTCTCTGTGAACGACAGAAACTCACGGTTATCTTTCCTTTCAAGCTGCACTTGTAAATGACCTTAATGAACTAAATCCTCTCTGCCCACGAATAATGAGAATAAAAAGAATCTTCTGTGGCACAAAAATGTCCCCTTTAAGTAAACGTGCTGATATAATCGTCATCAGGCTCCACGTTATATCATTCTTCCCAAACTTGGCATGAAAAAAGGAAGCCTTCGCCCCTTGTGCTGTGACGCGCGGCCTTGTGGAGAGGCCGCCATTTTTGCTACATACAATCAAGATGGTCGTTTCTCCATTCAGGGGAGGAAAAGACAGGGGCGGGTGGACGCTTTACGGAGGAAACAGAGCCACAGCCACGTCGAATGTGGCCAAGTAGTCGACAAACGCCGACATCTTTGTGTTCGAAGCGCTCGGATCATTTAGAGTTACCCGCGATGCTAAGAAGAAAGCGGCAGAAGCAGCTTCGCGGCTTTCCGCCGCGGCCTGCTCCGCATTAGCTGCTAGCAACAGGGCCTGCTAGTCTGTAACTGTCGGCGAAAGTCGGCGAAAGCTATTGTTCATTTAGATACGTAAGGCACAGCGCTTTATGGAGGCAGCACACAGCTCCACCACATGCAGCGTGTGTAAGCGGAAAAAAGACCATTTTCAGCGGCCTTAAAGCGGCCTTTGTTTAAAACGCCGACCATCCGTACTAAGACCATGTGACTCCATCGACACCACGAAACAGCATTAATTTACCTTTACAGACAAAATAAGGCTCGTCGCCTGTATTACACCCTAAAGTATCGTAGTTCCGATGTTTTGGCTTCAATATCAAGTTACTACAAATGAAAAGAGGAAGAATTTTTAAAGGCCTACATCAGGCTTTTTCACGTGCTGTCGCCGGATGCCGATAACGACCGCAGTCCGTATTCACATCTGAAGCATTAAGACTAATATAACTTCTGACTAACATGACTTTAACGATCTAAAACATTCAATCTTATTTCACACTCGTCTCCTGAAACGCGAAGAGTCCTAATGTTCAAAAAGACAAAAAGTCCCCGAATGTTACTCGACTACAAAACCCGGTTAAAAATCTGCATTCTTGAGAACATCAAGTAAAATATGACGGATTGAAAAAGAAAATAAGCCCTAGAACTCACACTTAGTGTGACCAAAAGTAGTCTTCCTTACCTGTTATCATATTCAGCCGACATTATTTCAAAGAAAGAATCCGCAGCA